TGCTTGTGGGTCAGTCACCGTTCAACGGCTGCGACGAGGACGAACTCTTCTGGTCCATATGCAACGAGCAACCTTATTATCCTCGTTTCTTGTCCAAAGAGGCCAAATCACTGCTTATGCAGGTCAGAAAACGCTATTCGTCGAATAATAAAACCGAGTTTAAATTCAATTTAAGGAGGGACTTGAGCGGTGTCAATAGCTTAGGCTGTGTGTCATTGATCGGACAGCTTGCGTAGAAGTAATTTTAAAAATATTCGCCCGTGCCAATAATAATCTCCCCCATGTTTTGATATATTCTTTCAATTTAGGTGATTCTTCATCCAGTTCAGGCACACGAGTTGGAATTGAATTCAGTAATGATAATTGAATTCCTTAAATCATTGCTCATGCACGACAGAAAACTTGATTTATTGAATGAGAAAACGCGGGATTTACTAAAAATTTAGGTGGGAACTCTGACGGCGGTGTTACTGTAAACTGTGTCATTGATTGGCTAGCTTGGTTATACGTGTTTTAAGAATGTGTGTTTGTGCCAATAATAATATTCACCATGTTTCGATGGATTCTTTCAATTCGGGTGACTCCTCTTTCAATTCAAGTCTGAACGAGAATTACTCTGATTGTTAATGATGGAACACGCAGGTATGATTTTGCCGGCGAATGAAAGACTTTCTGTTCACATATGGAAGATGATATTTTCTATTACTTCGATTACTATGAAAATATATTCCCTAAACTTTTCAGATAAAACTGGAGTCGTCGATCTATATACTCGAACTAGAAAGAAAATTTGTTCGAAATTTGTCCAGTGATTTACATTTGAAGTTCCATTCATGCATGCGTGATTGAAATTCAAAACTTTTAGATGATTTTATTCCCACTGCCTTGAATTCTAGATGGATTTTAAAATGCCCTCATTTTTTGAAGTATTTTTTACCATCGAAATTTTGTCTAGAATATTTCAACGTCGCAGAATAGCTAACCTTGCTTCATTGTTATTCATGAGCTCATTTTTCCTCCGGTTCTTATGCACAGATTCGCCTTCTGCATGAACAAAAAATGCTGTTCCCGATTTTTTTCGAGGTTGGAATTTTCGAGTTGTTTTATGATGAAATCGACCTCGGAAGGTTTTTCCAAAACTATTATCTGCTTAAATTGGAAATCCTGGAAGCTCTCAGAGATCTCAAGAAAATAACGTCTGCGCGCTTTTTGGAAATATACGATTGATTCTCAAAATACAAATTGTATTTTTGATGACCTTCCCTGGGGAAATTTACAAGGTATGTTTGCGACATCAGTGTTTGGCAAATAACTCCGACTTCGCTGATTCATATTTTGTCGGTAGTATGAAATTTTTAATGAAGTACTGGTGGTGGAAAGCCCTTAAATGCGTTCATAATCACTTTTGGGACTGTGTCCATGATGAGTTGAAACATTTGGATATGTGATTGGAAATTCTCACATGCTTTAATGAGAAGTTTTCAACCACAACTCGTATTTGACCGAAAAAATTTTAAAAAATATCCTCCGAAGAAATTTGATAAACTTGTTTTTCTTGACTTCCAACATACCAGAAGTGACTGTGCAGGTAAAAATAACTCCCAAATAATTCTCCTTTTTGGCAGGGTAATTTAAAAAGCAAGAACCAAGCCCTCGAATTGAAAAAAATCTTCACAGGTGATGGAAAAGCTCTTAAAATTAGCCATTTTCTGAAAATCAAATAGAGTACCCTCATAAAACACACTTATTTGAACTTTTCTTTAGCAATAACTCAATTTGTTTGAAATATGCAGAACTTATAAAAATTGGATCTTTTCATTGTTTGGAAGTTTTGGCAACGTGTTCATGTCTTGAGGCAATGTCCAGATGTTGATCAATTTTCTGAGTTTTATAGTGTTAATTAGGGAATTCGTCCGTGTGTCGGGGCCCCAGCGGTGTTGAATGTCGAAGTCTTTCAAAATTAAGATGATTTTACTTTATTTGTGATGCCTGGTATATTTTTGCATGTTTCAGCTGCTGGAAAAAGATCCTGAACGTAGACTGGGTACATCATCGTCGTCTTCAGTTTCTGCAGACATGGCACACCAGCCATTTTTCCGGCCAATCAACTGGGAGCGACTGGAGAAAAAAGAACTGGAACCTCCGTTCCAACCAAAGCTGGTATAACGATAAATTTGTTCGAGACATTTTTTGTATCCAGGTCAATTTCGAAACACTTCTCATTCTTCGTGTCATTCTGCTAGAAATCTGGATCAGACGTCACTTATTTTGACACTGACTTCACGATGGAGCGACCGCATTTAACAGTGGTTGACAAGGACATTTTGGCCAGCATGGATCAGGCTCCGTTTCAAAGCTTTTCGTACACAAATCCTGACATGCTTCTGCTTGCGAATAACAAAGCGACGCCGACGTGATTTCTGAAACAAGAAAATTCCGCGCTTCTTTCGATTTT